ACACACACACACACACACACAAAGAAAAACAAGTAGATAGAATAGAAAAAATAGAAAGCTAGTGTTTGTTTGTTTTTTGTTGAAGATAAAGAAGATGAATATAGATAAAGTAGATTTAAAATAGACAGCCTAATACTCGAATACCCTAATGTAAATGTAAATACCAAGACATTTAGTAGTTTTCTGAATTAGCACTCTGTCCGCTTTGAGAGAGGTGTGACAAATAGACATGAGTTGATTAATGTGTTAATTTGTCTCTCTCTCTCTCTCTCTTTTTTTAGATGAAATCAAGCATGAACTGGAAAAGCAGAAGTAAGTTTTCATACCAACATGTCATGCACCAACCATGCAAAAGTCTCCTGTGATCTACATTGATGTAACATTAAGAGAATGGTTATTGTGTTTTTATGAAAAGGCTAAATCATCTTCATTCTGAACCATCATGGTTATGTAATAATTTAGGGTACTGGTCTCATTGATGTCCATGCTGAACAAAAGGCCCCCAGTAATGTTAAAGGGCTACTGACATGAAGATGTTAAAAAAGAAATGTTTGTTCTTGTTTAATATGGTGTAACATTCAGTGAATGAAGTATATTTCAGTGCTGCATGGTTATTCCCGCTGACTGACCTGTGCTGTGAATCTTGTATGTGCCAGGGATGGCACTGTTGTTCCTCCCAGAGCTAATTACATTGAGGCTGACAAGTACGTCCTGCCTTTCGAGCTGGCATGTCAGTCCAAGTCTCCTCGTATTGTCAGTACATCTCTCGACTGCTTACAGGTACGCAGAGTTCTCATTCTCCTCACTCTACTGCAGTGTTTCATCTTACTCAACATTAAAGGTGCCATAGAATGCATTGATACAATATTTTAAATTGTTCTCTGATATCTATGTACTGTAATGTAACAGGCTACCGCTAGCAAGCAGCTAACATGTCCCTTTAGTGGCTCGCGTTATTTTATTAGAACACGCGTTATTTGTTTTCCGTGCCTTTCTGAATACAGACACCAACCCATCCCTGTACATCACATCCCTTCAACAGCCTGTAACATAACATTTATTTCCATGATCTGCCATTTTCGCTATTATCCTCGCTTGTTTCTTCACAATACCTGCAGAACTTCTGATGATTCGGCTGGCATAGAACATGGGCGGGTATATGCAAATGTTGGGGGCGTAACTATTAGTGATCCCGACTGTAACGTCAGAGAATGGTTATTGTGTTTTTATGAAAAGGCTAAATCATCTTCATTCTGAACCATCATGGTTATGTAATAATTTAGGGTACTGGTCTCATTGATGTCCATGCTGAACAAAAGGCCCCCAGTAATGTTAAAGGGCTACTGACATGAAGATGTTAAAAAAGAAATGTTTGTTCTTGTTTAATATGGTGTAACATTCAGTGAATGAAGTATATTTCAGTGCTGCATGGTTATTCCCGCTGACTGACCTGTGCTGTGAATCTTGTATGTGCCAGGGATGGCACTGTTGTTCCTCCCAGAGCTAATTACATTGAGGCTGACAAGTACGTCCTGCCTTTCGAGCTGGCATGTCAGTCCAAGTCTCCTCGTATTGTCAGTACATCTCTCGACTGCTTACAGGTACGCAGAGTTCTCATTCTCCTCACTCTACTGCAGTGTTTCATCTTACTCAACATTAAAGGTGCCATAGAATGCATTGATACAATATTTTAAATTGTTCTCTGATATCTATGTACTGTAATGTAACAGGCTACCGCTAGCAAGCAGCTAACATGTCCCTTTAGTGGCTCGCGTTATTTTATTAGAACACGCGTTATTTGTTTTCCGTGCCTTTCTGAATACAGACACCAACCCATCCCTGTACATCACATCCCTTCAACAGCCTGTAACATAACATTTATTTCCATGATCTGCCATTTTCGCTATTATCCTCGCTTGTTTCTTCACAATACCTGCAGAACTTCTGATGATTTGGCTGTGCAGGTTCGGCTGGCGTCTGGCATAGAACATGGGCGGGTATATGCAAATGTTGGGGGCGTAACTATTAGTGATCCCGACTGTAACGTCAAATGTATGTTCTGGTTCGCCTATTTTTCAGTGGTCTTTTGCATGCACAAGGTTTACATAAGAAGGAGGAAACAATGGTGTTTGAGGCTCATGGTATGTCATTTCCATGTACAGAACTGTTATTATTCAACTATGCCAAGGTAAATACAGTTTTCCATTCTATGGCACCTTTAATACATTTAAAACACTTGTTTTAAAACTTGTGTTTATTTTTTAATCCTTGTAAATAGGAGTTTTTTGCACGTGTGACTAATTTATTTGTTTGTAGTCTGCAAGGAAAACTGTTTGTGAAATCACTAAGATCATGAAGCTTATACAAACCTGATAGTTATGAATATTGAATGAATTCAAACACACTGTATTAATGAACGTGTATTACACTGTAATACCTCCATTGCGTACGTTGTCTCATGCTACTCTCAGTTGTTGCAGAAGGACGTCTCTGGCAAACGTCCCATCATTACTACTGCAAATAATGTAGATATTTCAGATAGTACACTGTCTGAACAAATGGATCTATTTTAGTTTCAGACATTGATCCCGGATGCTGGATTTCATTACTTGAAAAATTACAGTCAGTCTAGTTCATTCCCGTTATGTAAATTGCAGTTCACTAGTTTTAATATTTAAATTAATTTAATCATTCCACTCATACATTTTCTCACTGACCTTTCTTTTATTCATCACAGAAACTCATTGCGTATGGGCACATCACAGGGAACGCCCCTGACAGCGGAGCTCCAGGAAAACGGCTGATTGACCGGCTGGTGGAGACCATCTGTAACTGCTTTCAGGGACCCCAGACTGATGAGGGGGTACAGCTACAGATCATTAAGGTAAACAACTCTCCATCATACCAGTTCGTTTTTCAGACAGGCACTTCTTGATATTGAAATTCATATTTGATGGTTGATGTAATGCAAATATATGTAATACAATAAATTACATACATACACCACTGTACAGAAGTTTGGGGTAAGTTTTTATTTTATTTTTTAGTTTATTCAGCAAGGATATTAGCACATGATGCTTTAAATCTGTGACAAAGACATTTATAACGTTACATTATAGTGTAACAAATAATGTTATATTATATACACTGTTATACAATATATATATATTATACAATATACACAATGTTGTATTATAAAGACATTTATAATGATACAAAAATTTCTATTTTAAATAAATGCTGTTTTTCTGTTCATCAAAGAATCCACAAAAATATTGTTAAGCAGCACAACGGTTTTCAACATTAATAATAATAAATGTTTCTTGAGCACCAGGGGCCCGTTCTTCGTACGTCGCTTATTACATCTGAGATGAAATGTAACATCCCAGATGATATCATCGCGCTAATCAGGATCTGGCTAATTCGGTTCTTCGAACGCAGCTGTTGTTGATGATTAGTATGGCTGGATTGAGTTATCTGAGATAATTGCACGTTCATGGGTTGGTTTAAAAGGGGCTATGTATCGATACTCGAAACCACGATCAGCAATGCAGCGATTGACTGGCGGCAAGACAGCAACGTAATGACATCATATAATTAAAAAAGACACCTCACGAAAAACTTGACCAATTTCTGGACTTTTAATAAGGAAACAGCTAAGCGAACAAAACTACATAAATGTTACAATACATAAATGAAATGTGCACTGTTTTTATTTTATTTACTTATTACTGATAAGTTTACGGTTTTTATTTTATTTTATTTACATAATTTTATTTTAATATTTTACATGATTCCCGATTATTTATATTCACGATTTCTAATATTTGTACAGGCTTTACATTTTTATTTCAATGTAGTAATTAGCAATTCATTTAATTTTAT